GAGCTCGGAGAGCTTTCCAGATGGCCCACTGGGGAGAGGGTGGCCCATAGGTCTCGGCATCCACTGCACTTCGGCGTAGTAGGCAGCCAGGGTGTCCCGCCGATCTGTGCTCTCCACCAATTTTCCTTGGGCGCTCGCGGCGCTCCTTAGACGGCCCTGCGGTTGCACGCCCAAGCGCTTGAACTTCCGTAAATCCCACCAGCCCTTCGGGCGTGAGTGGTTTAGCGAGCTCTCTCTGTTCTCAACCCCCCTTCTTCCTCTTCGGGGAGGGGTTTACCCCTCCCCCTCCCCCCTCCCCCTGGAGAGGGCGTTCCGCGGGTCGTTGAAGGGGTCTTTTTTTCGACTCCTGGGAGGGCTAAAATTCGACACCCCTCACGAGGATTCTGGCCCCGACGGGGAGGGGAGAAAAGTGCTCGCCCCATCTGTGATCGATCGCCCGACAGATGGCCCCAAGATTCCCCCCAGACCCCTCCCAAAGAGCCCCAAGAGGCCCCAAGAGGCCTCCAAGAGGCCCCCAAGATGCCCCCAAGAGGCCCCCAAGAGGCCCCAAGAGGCTCCCCCGAGGCACCCAAGACGCTCCTGGAAGCCCCTGGAGCCGCCAAGAGGCCCCCAAGACGCCCCAAACGGCCTCCAAGAGGCTCCCAAGAGGCCCGAAGAGGCTCCCCCAAGGAACCCAAGACGCTCCTAGAAGCCCCTGGGGCCGCCAAGAGGCCCCCAAGACGCCCCAAAAGGCCTCCAAGAGGCTCCCAAAAGACATCTACTACTACTACTACTACTACTACTACTACTACTACTACTACTACTACTACTACTACTACTACTACTACTTCTACTACTACTACTACTACTACTACTACTACTACTACTACTACTACTACTACTACTACTACTACTACTACTACGACGACGACGACGACGACGACGACGACGACGACGACGACTACTACTACTACTACTACTACTACTACTACTATACTACTACTACTACTATTACTACTACTACAACAACTACTACTACTACTAGTTCTAGCTCTACTACTACTACTACTCCTACTACCTACTACTACTACTACTACTACTACTACTTCTACTACTACTACTACGACGACGACGACGACGACGACGACGACGACGACTACTACTACTACGACTATTACTACTACGACTACATCTACTACTACTACTACTACTGCTACTACTACTACTACTATTACTACTACTACAACAACTACTACTACTACTAGTTCTAGCTCTACTACTACTACTACTCCTACTACTACTACTGCTACTACTACTACAACTACTACTACTACTACTACTACTGCTACTACTACTAGTACTACCACTACCACTGCTACTAGTACTACTGCTACTATTACTACTGGGACTACTACTACTGCTGCTATTAGTACTAAGACTACTACTTCTACTATTACTACTAATCATATTACTGCTACTACCACGACTACTACCACTACTACTACTAAGACTACCACCACTACTACTACTGCTGCTACTACTACTACTACTACTACCACCACCACTACTTCTAAATCTAGTACTACTACTTCTACTCATGGTGCTACGGCCACTACTACTACCAGTACTACTACTACTACTACTACTACGACGACTACTACTACTACGACTACTACTATTACTACTTCCATATAGACCACTGCTCTAGTTACTGCCACTGCTACTGAGACAACTACAGCGACGACGACGTTGACGACTACGCTTGCTACTACCGCTGGTACTGGTTATACCACCACTACTACTACTACTACTACTGCTACTACTACTACTACTACTACTACTACTACTACTGCTACTAGTACTACTACTGCTCCTACTGGTACCACTACTACTACTACTACTACTGCTACTACTACTACTACTACTACTACTACTGGTACTACTGCTACTACTGCTACTACTACTACTACTACTACTACTACTACTACTACTACTACCACTACTAATCCCACCAGCCCTTTGGGCGTGAGTGGTTTAGCGAGCTCTCTCTGTTCTCAACCCCCCTTCTTCCCCTTCGGGGAGGGGTTTACCCCTCCCCCTACCCCCTCCCCCTGGACCTGGAGAGGGGGTTTCGCGGGTGGTCAGAAGGTCCTTTTTCTATCCCTGGGAGGGCAAAAATTCGACACCCCTCACGAGGATCGTGGCCCCGACGGGGGTACTGACAAAAATGCTCGCCCCATCTGTGATCGATCGCCCCAAAGATGGCCCCAACAGGCCCCCAAGACGCTCCAAGAGGCGCCCAAGAGGGCCCCCGGACGCTCCCAAGAGGCTCAAAAGAGAGCCCAAGAGGCCCCTCTACGATCTCCAAGAGGCCTCCAAACTGCCTTGGATACGACTACTTGTACTACTACTACTACTACTACTACTACTACTACTACTACTACTACTACTACTACTACTACTACTACTACTACTACTACTACTACTACTACTACTACTACTACTACTACTACTACTACTACTACTACTACTACTACTACTACTACTACTACTACTACTACTACTACTACTACTACTACTACTACTACTACTACTACTACTACTACTACTACTACTACTACTACTACTACTACTACTACTACTACTACTACTACTACTACTACTACTACTACTACTACTACTACTACTACTACTACTACTACTACTACTACTACTACTACTACTACTACTACTACTACTACTACTACTACTACTACTACTACTACTACTACTACTACTACTACTACTACTACTACTACTACTACTACTACTACTACTACTACTACTACTACTCCTACTACGAGGGGACCGAACGACTCGCACCAGGACGAGGTGCCCGAACGCCTCACACCACGAGGAGCCCGAACGACTCACACCAGGACGAAACGAGCCCGAACGACTCACACCAGGAGGAGGGGCCCGAACGACTCACACCAGGACGAGGCGCCCGAACGACTCACACCACGAGGAGCCCGAACGACTCACACCAGGACGAGGGCCCCGAACGACTCACACCACGAGGAGCCCGAACGACTCACACCAGGAGGAGGGGCCCGAACGACTCACACCAGGACGAGGGGCCCGAACAACTCACACCACGAGAAGCCCGAACGACTCACACCAGGACGAAGAGCCCGAACGACTCAAACCACGAAGAGCCCGAACGACTCACACCAGGAAGAAGGGCCCGAACGACTCACACCAGGACGAGAGGCCCGAACGACTCAAACCACGAGGAGCCCGAACGGCTCGCACCAGGACCAGGGGCCCGAACGACTCACACCACGAGGAGCCCGAACGACTCACACCAGGAAGAGGGGCCCGAAGGACTCACACAAGGACGATGGGGCCGAACGACTCACCCCACGAGGGGCCCCAACGACTCCCACCAGTCGTCGTCGTCGTCGTCGTCGTCGTCGTCGTCGTCGTCGTCGCCGCCGCCTTCGTCGTCGTCGTCGTCGACGTCGTCGTCGTCGTCGTCGCGGTTGTGGTCGTCGTCGTCGTCGCGGTCGATATCGTCGTCGTCGTCGGGTGCGTCGTCGTTGTTAGGATCATCGCTGTGGTCGTCGTCTCCGCTAAATCCCTCTTGCCTCCCACCGCTTTCTCTCCCTCCTCCTCCGCCTCGTCCTTCTCCCGCTCCCACCACAAGGAGGATGTACAAGGAGGCGGGAGGAAGGAGGAACAGGGGAGATATGCGGGGGCAGGCGGAAACACGCCTGAAAAACACTACTGTCGGCATGCTTCGCAAGACTTGCTGTTTTGAGATGGGCTGGTGGGGATACGCGAAGCGTGAAGAATTACTCCATTCGCCACTGCCGAGCATGTCCTCGAGCCAAGCCTTCCGATCCCGCTGCGATGATTGACGGACCTGTCTGGTCAACGCTTTCTCCAACTCGTACTGGTTGTGGACGCGCGCCTGGTTCCGGAGCGCAATCAAATCCAGCGTGGCCGTACGAATCCACGCGGCCAGACGCCACGCGGCGCCTTCTTTTTCTGCGGGCTTCGAGGCGCGCGCGCCAGAGCGTGCTACAGAGCCGGAGTCTCTTTTCGATTTCGGGTGTGCAGGCGGGGGCGTGCCACAGCCTGGCCGTTCTTCCGGTCGGGGTCCTGCCTTTCGCGCCGCGATGAAGCTTTTGGCCACCCCTGCCATTCACGTGCGGCACCTCCCGTCAGCGAAGGCTGGCTGAGGCGGCGCCTGTACCCTACCCGCCAGGCCTGGGCACCCGCGTCAGAACTGCTGCGACCTCTCTCCCTCTCCCTCTCTCTTTCTCTCTCCCTCTCCCTTTCTCCTTCTCCCTCTCTGCAATTACACCATAAAAGTCTCCTCTCTCCCCTGATGACGTCCGGAAGATGTAACACACAGGATTCCTGGGACGTAGGTTTTCGATGTTTTGTTTGAAAATGTCGTTCCCGCTGAAATGCTGGCCTCATGTTCGGGCTTTCGCTCGTTCCGAATCGTGCTCTGGCTGCAGCGCTGGCCTCATTTCCGCGCTTCCTCTCGTTCCGAATCGTGATCCCGCTGCAGCGCTGGCATTATCATCTCCAGTGCCATGCCACGGAATGGTTTTCGGCCCTTCCATATATTCCCCAACATCTAGAAAATAGCCACCCCGAAAAAGCCATCGGAAGTGATTACACATTCGGTGTCGATTCGTTGATTTTTGGACCGCAGAAGCTCCTCCCCGCTTTGGGGCGTCGCCACGCCATGCGATGTCATGCGACGCGTTGATCTTCAACACCATGCTATGCCATGAAGTGCTACGCCAGGCTACGACATCCGACTGTGCGAATAGAGAGGATATCTACACCACGGTGAGGGATGGGAGGGAGGGGTAGGACGTCAGATATGACGCGAGCGCACCTAGATTGCCCTCTTTCCCTCTCCCTCTCTCCTTCTCTCTCTCCCTCTCCCTCTCCCTCCCCCTCCCCCTCTCTCTCTCTCTCCCTCTCACCCTCTCACCCTCTCGTGCGGGAGGTGCCGCCTGCCCACGTCCGCTGCAGCTCCCTGGCGAGGTGCATGGCTTCCACGCTGAATTCGAACTTGTCCCCGTTGACCCAGATCACGCTCTCCTGCTCCGCGCTCGCCTGTCGTGGGGGGGGGGCGACAGAGTATCAATGCCACGCCGCCGCTGGGGCGTGCCACCGTCGACGTGCGCTGTCCGGAGAACGAGGGGCTAACCCGCCGATGGGGCCCCGGGGGTCCCCGCGCCGGCGTGACCCAGATCACGCTCGCCTGCTCCGCTCTCGCCCGGGCCGGGCCGGGCAGGGCGGGGGCGGCGGAGCGAGGGAGGGGCGAAAGAGGGGGGGGGGGGAGAGAGAGGCGCGCCGATCCGGCGTGCGAGCCGCTTCCGAGGGGCCCGAGAGCTGCAGCTTGCAGCCCGAGCTTTTCAGCTCCGCGGCGCCCTCCTGGGGGTCCTCTGGGCGCCTCGAGGCGCCCAGAGGACCTGCTGGAGAGCGCCGAATCGAATCGCCGCGTCGAATCGGCGATCGAAATGAATCGGATCGGTGGAGATCGACCACCGAGTCGGGGGCAGTCGAATCGGCGGAAATCGGCAGGGCAGTAAGGCCTCAATGAGAAGCAGTAGCCCAAATCGGAATCCGAGGTCGAATCGAATCGGAATCGGAAGCCATCGACATCGAATCGAATCGAATCGACTCGGAGGAATCGAAATTAGCCCTGGGATCCTCTGGGCGCCTCGAGGCGCTCGAGGACCTGCTGGAGCCGTCCGACAGCAAGCTGGGGCCGCCCCCGAGCGCTTCGGAAACCCTCTGGGCGACCCATATGTGTGTCTTCTCGGGTTGTCTGGAGCCGACCTCCCAGCACTCTTGGGCCGCTTCCTGGGCTCTCCAGGGGGTGGGGGGTTACGCGGGGGGGGGGGTCTAGGTGCAATTTGGTGGGATACCCCCCCCTATATATATATATATATATATATTATATATATATATATATATATATATATATATACACACATACATATACATATGCACATACAGACATGCATGCTTATATGCATAATGTTGTAGAAAATGTGCATACTGACAAATTGGCACACATATATATATATATATATATACACACACGTACATACAAGCAACCGACACACATCTCAAACATCGGAGAAGGGGGCCTGGAGCTGGAGACGAGGACTCGAAATTCGAGGGCTCGCAGGTTCGGACCCCGAGGACTCGAGGCTGCTGGTCAACTGTCGCCCGTCTGCCCGTCTGCGGCCTCCAGGGGCGTCGTCGCCGCAACCGGGTTCTCCCCCGCCCTCCGCGCCCCTGGATGGGTCCAGGCGTTGATCTGGCCATCGCTCGGGCGTCCATTTCTTGTATTTCCCAACCATCCTGTGGTGTTGGGTCCTCGTTTTGAAGAGACGGTGCCCCGCGTCTCCTCCTCCCGCTGCCCCCTCCTCCCTCCTCCCCCTCCGCGCCAGCCACACCCACTTCGGCACACCCCTCACACGATTCGTGGCCCCATAAGGAGCTCCACCGAAGGCTCCAGTGGTTGCGTTCGCATGGCGGCACCGCACTCATTTCGGCACACCCCTCACACGTTTCGTGGCCCCAAAGGGAGCTCCACCGAGGGCCCCAGTGGCTGCGTTCGCATGGCGGCACCGCACCCAATTCGGCACACCCCTCACACGTTTCGTGGCCCCATAGGGAGCTCCACCGAAGGCCCCAATGGCTGCGTTCGCATGGCGGCACCGCACTCATTTCGGTACACCCCTCACACGCTTCCTGGCCCCATGGGGAGCTCCACCGAAGGCCCCAATGGCTGCGTTCGCATGGCGGCACCGCACCCATTTCGGCACACCCCTCACACGCTTCGTGGCCCCATAGGGAGCTCCACCGAGGGGTCCAATGGCTGCGTTCGCATGGCGGCACCGCACCCCATTTCGGCACACCCCTCACACGTTTCGTGGCCCCATAGGGAGCTCCACCGAGGGCCCCAGTGGCTGCGTTCGCATGGCGGCACCGCACCCATTTCGGCACACCCCTCACACGTTGCGTGGCCCCATAGGAAGCTCTACATAAGGCCCCAGTGGTTGCGTTCGCATGGCGGCACCGCACCAATTTCGGCACACCACTCACACGTTTCGCGGCCCCTGAGGGAGCTCCACCGAAGGCCAACGTGGCTGCGTTCGCATGGCGGCACCGTACCCATTTCGGCACACCCCTCACACGCTTCGTGGCCCCATAGGGAGCCCCACCGAGGGCTCCAATGGCTGCGTTCGCATGGCGGCACCGCGCCCTTTTCGGCACACCCCTCACACGGTCCGTGGCCCCATAGGGAGCTCCACCGAAGGCTCCAATGGCTGCGTTCGCATTGCGGCACCGCGCCCATTTCGAGACACCCTTCACACGCTTCGCGGCCTCATAGGGAGCCCCACCGAGGGCTCCAGTGGTTGCGTTCGCATGGCGGCACCGCACCCATTTCGGCACACCCCTCACACGCTTCGTGGCTCCATAGGGAGCTCCACCGAGGGCTCCAGTGGTTGCGCTCGCATGGCGGCACCGCCCCATGTCGGGACACCCCTCACACGTTTCGCGGCCCCTGAGGGAGCTCCACCGAGGGCCCCAGTGGCTGCGTCCGCATGGCGGCACCGCGCCCATTTCGGCACACCCCTCACACGCTTCTTGGCCCCATAAGGAGCTCCACCGAAGGCCCCAATGGCTGCGTTCGCATGGCGGCACCGCACCAATTTCGGCACACCCCTCACACGCGTTCGTGGCCACATAGGGAGCTCCACCGAGGGCCCCAGCGGCTGCGTTCGCATGGCGGCACCGCGCCCATTTCGGCACACCTCTCACACGTCTCGTGGCCCCTTACGGAGTTCCCTCTCATTCGTTCAACTTGCTTTGCGGTACTCGTAGCTGCATATGGTTGGGTCCATCGCCAGGATAATTTTGCTCGGCTTCGCGCGCGACTTTTTCACCACATGATCAAGGATGCTCCTCGATGGTCCTCGCCGAAGGAAAAATGCACACGTCCGAACGATGCCAAGAGGAAGACATGGAGGAGAAACATGGAACGTGAAACCTGGGTTGGCTTGAGCCCCTAGACCCAGGACGGGCAATTATCCTGGCGGAAGACCCAACCATATGCAGTTGTGAGTGCCGCAATTGTGAGTACCTTCTTCGGTGGCGCTCCCTATGGGGCCACGAACCGCATGAAGGGTATGCCGAAATATGGCGGGGTACTCAACGCAAAGGAATACGATAGGTCAGATTACGAAAGAATGAACGCGGGTGAGCCAGAGCGCGAGAGAGTCTGAGTGTGAATGGGTCTGCGTGGGAGTGAGTATATTTGCATGAATGCGATCTTGGCTACGCCTAGTGTAAATGTATATGAATGTGAATGGCTCGAGCATGCCTGTCCGAACACTCGTGACACTGGGCGTGGCCGCCGCAGGCAGCTTCCGCGGGAACCCCGACGGCAGCGCCCGCGCGCCGCGACGCCCATGTCGGCACGCCCCTCACGGGGATCGCACCCGCTTCCGCCCCTTCTTTTCCCCCCTCTTTGCCTGCGCGCTCCAAAAATCCAAAGCTGCGGGCGCAGAGCAGCGCGGAGCCCCCGCGACGCGCGCAGGTCGCCGCGGAGGGGTCCCAGCGACGCGCGCAGGTCGTCCGCTGCGCGGAGCACAGAGAGCTAGCCGGCCGGCTGATTGCGGGCAAGGCTCCGGCCGCTGGGCAGAGCGACGACGGGCGAGCGAGGCGCTGAGCAGAGCGCCGCGCGGAATCCCCGCGACGCGCGCTGGTCGCCCCGAGAGGGCCCCAGCGACGCGCGCGGGTCGTCCGCGGCGCGAGGCCGAACAAGGCGAGAGAAGGCGCGGCTCGGGGGGGGCGCTCCTCAGGTCAGGCCTCGCGGATAAACTCGGTAAAGCCGAGCTCCCTGGCGAGGGCCGTCGCCTCCCTCCTGCGCCGCTTCGTGCGCGCTGCAAACTGCTCCAGCTGCTTTCGCAGGCCCTCCGGCGGCCCCGCCAGGAAGAACTCGATGCGCGGCGCCCGCGTGAGCAGGAGGTCCTCGTGGCGCGTGGCGCGCGAGAGCAGCGCATAAAGCTCCAGCCACCAGTCGTCGTCCTCCTTCTTGCCGTTCCCGACCTCGTGGCGGCCGCAGTCCTGGATCACGCCTGGTCCACGGGACCTTAGGTGCAGCTCCCTGAGGGGCCACGAAACGTGTGAGGGGTGTGCCAAAAAGGGGCGGTGGCGCCATGCGAGCTGCGCCACTTGGACCTCAGGTGGAGCTCCCTGAGGGGCCACGAAATCTGCGAGGGGTGTGCCAAAATGGGGCGGTGGCGCCATGCGTGCTGCGCCACTTGGACCGTAAATGGAGCTCCCTATGGGGCCGCTAAACGTGTGAGGGGTGTGCCAAAAAGGGACGGTGGCTGCGCCACGTGGGCCTTAGGTGGAGCTCCCTATGGGGCCACGAAACGTGTGAGAGGTGTGCCAAAAGGAGCCCCCTGAGGGGCCACGAAATCTGTGAGGGGCGTGCCAAAATGGGGCGGTGGCGCCATGCGAGCTGCGCCACTTGGACCTCAGGTGGAGCTCCCTGAGGGGCCACGAAACGTGTGAGGGGTGTGCCAAAATGGGGCGGTGGCGCCATGCGAGCTGCGCCACTTGGACCGTAAATGGAGCTCCCTATGGGGCCACGAAACGTGTGAGGGGTGTGCCAAAATGGGCGTGCGGGACGCATGCGGGCACACCCACTGGGACCTTCGGTGGAGCTCCGTATGGGGCCACGAAACGTGCGATGATGGCGACGAGGACAACGATGATGGTGATGACGACGGTGATGGTGATGATGACGATGATGGTTATGATGGCGGCCATGATGTTGATGCTGATGACGATGGTGATGATAATGCTGATAATGATGATGATGACGATGATGATGGTGACGATGAGGATGATAGGAGGGGAGAGGAGGCGGAGGAGGAGAGGAGGAGGAAGGAGACGCGGGGCACCGTCTCTTCAAAACGAGGACCCAACAACACAGGTTGGTTGGGAAAAACACACGACACGCTCGATCCATCGCGCCGCACCACCGACACAGCGGCGTTGCATCGGCGACGCACCGGCGTTGC